TCTTTTCGTTTTATTTTTTTTTGTTACTAGTTGATGATATAATATAACAAACGTACTCTTTCGATTTGGGACTCTAACATCACTTTGCGATTTAATTGCACATGTTCTTAGTTTGAAGACGACGTAGTTATCGGCTTTTTTCTGTTGATTTTTATCTGAAATGTCTTATGAGCTCACAGGGGAAGATTTACAGTTTTGTTTAGCGTATTGTATTTGTTGCGGAAAATAAGTAGGATGTTTTGGATTGTGAGTGCAATTTCATTCAAACTTCGTTTTATTTGGCTAGAACGGTGAAGCTGATCTTTGCGTAGCTGTCGGTTTTTTGAAAAGTGGCAATGTTCGGTGTGCTTTGAACATGAGTATTCATTTAAATATCTTTAGGGTTCGCGTGCCCAACTTCTGGCTGCAAAAGCGCTGAAGAAACTTTCATGGCGATTTCATACGAAATATTTGATGTGGTTCCAACGCCATGAAGAGCCAAAACAAATTACCGATGATTACGAGCAGGTACAAGCATGATTTGTTATCATTTATTCATTGTTCGATGGTTTCGTGATCGTTTTTATGATCTGAATTGATACGGACTTATGCCGTATGATCATATCACATATAGTCTGTGCTCGCCAGATGTCATCGCTTTTCACTGTGTTACTGCGTGGCATTTACCAACTATTACAAACTACAGTGGTTTGTATTGTTCGATGAATGTTAGACAATAGCTGAGTGGAAATCGAACAGAGCCTGTAAGCTGCGATCATATAAGAGAGATGTAATCGTTAATATAGTGGGTGATCGATTGTATTTGTTAGATTAATCGATATCATCGTTTAGATTAGCTACGAATCATTGACGAAATATCATTGTGAATCAGCAAAGTAATTTTGGTGATAATATTTAATAGCATCGTTGATTTCAGGGCACATATGTGTATTTTGATTTTGAGAAATGGTCACAGCGTAAGAAGGAGCAGTTCACATTCGAGTATCGATATTTGGAAGATAAGGATTTTGACTGAGAGGTATCGAAGATGAGTTCTTTCGACAAAAATCCAATCACATCATCAGTCAGTCCATCTGAAAAACACCTCTTTTAGTGTGTGTGTGTGTNGTGTGTGTGTGTGTACAATAAGTGAACGTCCCTGCTCTTCTGCATTGTCTGTTAATTTGTTTTATCTTTTAATTGTCAATTTCTCTTCTCTATGTTCCGATTGTTACCATGTGATCGACTCCTCCTTGAATCAATTCCACTGTGAAAAACAAAAATCCTTTGCTGGCCTCATTTTGGAAGATTTTGATCATTATTTGATTGTTATTGATTTGGTTTGTAGTCGATGATATCATTTGATTTGTTATAAGATATGATATGTGCTTATATATGTATCAATAAGTGTCTACGGTCTTTTCATTTACTGTTGATTTCAGTTTGCGATTTTTTGTTATATTCGATTGAATTGAATTGAGTCGAATTAAATTTTTAATCAATCTTTTTGCATTCAGTCGTTCATAATGATTTTTATTAGTTGATTAATTATGATGATGATGATGTGTAATATAAATTCACGACAATTCCATTTGCCTGTTTTGTTTCTATTCGACTGACTCATCGTAACGACGTACAACAATAAATGAATTTTTATCGAACGAATTGTTGGATATTTCTTTTCGGTTTTACTTTCTTCTTTCTATTTTTTCTCATATGTTGACGCGTACATCCACCTCGTCATCCTATAGTGTGTATGATGGCTTTCTGATCAGCGGATTCTCTCTTGTTATGCATCGGTCATTCCTTGTGTCGTTTGTGTATTTCGAATATTCAGGAACTAGTATAAATACCCTCGTTGTCAGTTGTTCGATTCCAACAGTTCAGCAGTAATGAGTTTACATATAGAGGTAAACACTGTCGCAATGTGTCGTATTTGATATGAATTGTCATCAAATGCATTCTAGTAAAATGGGACAAGAAATTTTGTTCGGT